AAAGTATGTATTTCATTGTCCTGAGCATAGTCCCTGACCCATGCAGGTGGTATCTTGGGAAAGATAGGGGTGGTTGAACATGTCTGCCACCCTCACCTAAGTGGTTATGATGTCCCGCTGACCTCCTACTGGTAACTGTTCAAGCTCAACCTCTTACTTATAAACAATTACCTATTTTATTTTGTAAATCTCATTTTGTTTTGTTCTGGTTTGTTTATGTTGAGGAAACTACAAAATAGTGAATATAACTGACTGAATGTCTCTCTTTCTAACTGTCAAGACTGCTTCTAAGTTGTTGATGTCATTCATTCACAATAAAAATTATTTTGGAAAAAAATACATATATATCATTTTTAAAAATCTGCAAACCTGATCTCTGATCCAGGGATTAAAATGTAAAGTTCTACTGTCCTAGCCAGGATTTAAAAGTTACTTGCAAGTGCAAGCCTGAAGGGTCCAAGACACACGTAACTGGGCTCAATTTCTTCTTGCCATGATAGACTTCTCACTTGACAAAGGCTAGCTGAGAGTGGAAATTTTGAGCTCTGCATATATTTCCTTTCAGTTCTGATGGTCGTGGAATTCAAGCATTTGTACCTTTCTCCAAAGGTAAACGCATTTATTATCGTGTTAAAAAAAAACTATGGATCAAGTTGATATATGTGTTTTTCTGACCGTGGCAAATACTGCTCCTTTCCCAAATGCACACCTTGAATAAATGGCAATTGAAGATAATTTAGATAACGTGAATAAAAGACAAACATTGCTATCAAAGCAGGCAGCTTTTTAGTTTTTTGTTGCACCTGTTCAAACAGAATATTCAAATATAATGATATTAATAAAGGAACATTCTAACTTTTAAAATCAATATATTATTTTTCAAGTTAGATATGTTCCCTATGTTCAGAATTAGGGAGCCCCTGTGTTTAAAGTTTTAAGTTAAGTAAAAAAATAAATTAAACTTTCCTGTAATCCATCGCCAGGACACACTTTATTCTACAGTTTTTCTCGGTGCGATCATGAAATATGATGATCTCGGGTCCAAACAAATGGTTCTACTGCGCATGCAGGCAATCTGCCAGTCCAATCTTGCTCATAGAGAAACACTGAAAAGAAAAAAAAGAAGCTTTAGCCGTATTCGACGTCATCACCACAATGAAGGTCTTAAAGGGTTACTCCAGGAAGGATAATCATCATAACCATATATAGTTACATCTACGACAGTAAAGGTTTCAGTATGTAAACTGCACAAATCACTGAAGTGGTTATGGTTCTTTGAGTAACTCTTTAAGAAAGAAGGGCTTCTAATGGCTGTGTAAGTGACATGTTGCCATATACTGTTCATGGAAAGACTTGCCGAAGCTGCTCAAGATACTCTTTCCAGAACATTTGGTCTCCACGGATCGGCACTGTAGCTGAGCTCTCTGTACTCCGGGCCTAGATACCTCCGCCAAGGACCACTTCCTAGCTGGAACAGGGGAAAACCTCAGCATTTCTGCCCCAGTCGTGGCTTGACTAGGGTCCTCATGGAGTGTCTCCGTCCTGGAACAGGATAGGGGACTAGTTCTATTTACTCC